CATGATCGACAGTTGGGGTGGCTGGAGCCTTTTCCAGGACCTCCTTGTCACTTTGGAGACTGTTGCCAAGAGACACGACTGCTCAGTGGCCAGCGTGGCAACGCGTTATGTGCTGGATTGCCCAGCGGTGGGCGGGGTCATTGTGGGCTGTCGGCTAGGCGTCACAGGGGCAGGGCAACACATCAGTGACAGTCTGCGTAGCTGCGACCCTGACCTGAAGCTGACGGCGCAAGATCTCACCGCCATTGACGCAGTGACGCGCCGTTCCAGGGACCTAATGGCGCTCATTGGGGATTGTGGGGATGAGTACAGAAGCTAAGGGGTGATGGGGGGTTGGAAAGAGGAGAAGCCTCTCACCACAAAGTTTTCTTATGAAAATCATTTCAATTCTGTTTTGAAACTTTCTGCCACTTCTGCTGACTTTGAGCCATATTGGTTTCTGCACACATGGGCTGAAGCTACTTTTTTTTTTGATAAATATTAAAAAGATCATTCAGAATTGCAAGTTTTATCTTACCAGCTCCTTTTTTACAACTTAAAACGGAAGATTATGTGCCTCATTCGAGATCTAGTTATCTTACCCAGTGAATATTTGATGCTGTTAATAGATTAAACGCTCTTCTCCTGCAGCGCATGCTCACACTGCTGAAGTGGTTTTAATGTTGGACAGATGCGTCTCATTCAGGCGTAAACACAGTTTCACAAACACACAGTTTAAGTGTCTTAGTTACAGAATTAAGAGAAAGTTCAGTTGTTCAGTGTCTCTCCTCAGTTGTCCAAACTAACATTTGAAGCTTTACACTACAATATTATTCCATATCGTGTACATAAGATATGGTTTAAGCTTGGGGCCGGACGATATGGCCAAGAGTGTTATCACAATAAAAAGTTTAATATCTTTCGATATCAGTAATTATCACAATAAATCATTATTTCTTTCGAGTTTAAAGGCTGATTTTTACTCCTGAGTGACAGTTGAAGAAACCTGATGGTTAATTGTGGTTTATATTCTTCTTTATGGTCAACACTTGATGCCAAACAATGGATCACTTCACAAATCTTAGGTGGAATATTCAAAACAGTTATGATAAATCAACAAAGTCAACAATTTTGCATGAGTAAAATTAAGTAAAAGCTTTTTTCAGTCCCTTTTCCTCAACAAAATAAACATCTTAATAAAAAAATTAAGTCCTAATTCGTGTATGATTTAAGTGAATCTAATCAGACATTTATTTAATAATTAATGAACATTTGTTATATTGTTTTTGAAAAAAATTATATTGCGATAATTTTTGTTATTGTTTTATTGTCCAGCCCTATGTAAGCTTAATGGAATTATGAGGGTTTTTTTCAATTTAACGTTCAGTTCAACTTAAATGACTGTGTTGTAAAAGGTAAATAAAAGTTGTGTCATCATTTTTGCTGTTTTCCTAGCTCTTAATCATTAAAGGATCATGTTTCACTAAGCAGGACGTTGTTCTTGGCTGTTATTTTTTGCAATCACTTCTGAATTCTCTCAGTACTAGTTTGGTCCCAAATGTCTGAGCAAATGTCTGAAAATATCGCACTCCCAAAATATATATGTTTTTGTGATTTCTATTTAATGACCCTTTAAAATGTATTATGAGACAGTGTACTGTACATTGATATTCCTTTGTGTCTGAGAAACTGGCCATGAGGTAGACTGTTAATGAGCCTGTATGAAGCATGTGTGTGTGTGTCGGGGGGGCTCAGTGAAGTGAAGGAAGTGGGGAACCCTGTACCGCTGTCTGGCTCTACATATGTTGAGAAAGCGTACAGACACACAGATGTTACACAAATGCTCCAATCATTGTATAAAATTCACTTTTATGCTAGAAGCATGTGCTACCTTGAATGAATGGTGAGGGACTGTTGCATTATGTGGGTGTTTGTGGGATATCAACGGACGAGTGCATGATTAGTGTGTAGTGTGTGTTTGTTATGTACAGACTATGTAATTAATTAATCTATGTACGCTGGGAGCATGCTTTAATGTGTGTTTTTAAGGCGATGAAGTAGTAGCAATTTAGTATGACAGGAGGTGTGTGAGCCACTCCACATGTATGCCCTATATTGTGTGTGTGTGTGTGTGTGTGTCGGTTTGTCTGTGCATTAGTAGAGAAGAATTCATACGACAGATTGACACATATGCAGACATATGCTTAGATGGCCGTCAAGACAGAAACGCCCAGCCTGTCAGAGTTCTCAGCACCCACAGTGTGAAAACAGTACGAACATATACACACATGCTGTACATAAACACACACACAGTCTGTCAATCCATTTTACCTTACTCCCTAGCACACACTCACAGCTGACACACTTTGTCCAACTCAAAGACCAAACAGACTCCCGCTGCGCTATAGGAGTGGGGTCAAAGGTCATCCCAAATATCACATCCAATCTTCTGTGGTTCTTCTCACCAGCTGGAGTTCAGTCAGTATGGTGTACAAAGGACTGTTAGTTGCAAGGACAAAGAGGGTCTTTTTGAAATCCTGCATATGGTTGCTAGACACGCTCACTTAGAAACACTGAATACTGCTTACCTGTGACTGAAGCTTGTGTGCAGTGTCAGGTAAGCAGTGTGTACATATAAGGAAGATACAAAATTAGCCAGATTTTTCAGAACCACATAGAGAGCAGATCTAAAGAGGTCTGCTGACTTGAGAATAAAATCCAAAACTTCAGACACAAGTTAAAGTATAATCAGTTTAAAACTAAAATTCACAATTTATTTGGTTATAAAAATTTATTTTTTTCTTAGTTTTTCAATCCCTTTGGAGATACATGGGTTTAAACCAACAGCAACTACAGACAATTTAGCAATTAAATAGGAAAACTGCAGTCAAGGACAAACTGTCATTTGCGGTTATTATTGATGTTAATTGTCAAGAGTTTTTAGCATTTGTATAATGTGAATATGGTACAGTAACATGTCTTTTAAATTGTATTGATGATCATCAACACTGAGTTACTCCTAAACCCTCCTTGAGAATGTTAATTTGCAAATTGCACATTTCACTGTCTCACACACTTCTTAGCACCTCTTTATGCTCACTTGCACACATGCTGCAGCCTGCGTGAATCTTTCAATAGGCTTTTCAATTATTAACACACATTAAATATGCACACCACATGGTGGATGTGGGCTTGTATGATCATCCAGAAAAATACACCACCTTGCTAAATTTGAACCAGTCACCAGGGCACAACTAAACTTAAGCAACACACAGACTGCATTAGGTGGGGCTGAGCTCTATATGAAGAGCAATTTTCTGCTCATTGACTGTCCCTAAAGATTAGACAGAGATGGCCAGAAGTATTTAGGATTGCTGCTCCTCAATGGAAAACCTGCATTATATTTAAAAGACTAGCTATTAGTTTCAAGCAATTATTTGTCCTGCAGAAAGTGAACATCTTTGTGGTTAATTTTTTATGATTTTATTGTTAAATGGGGAACAACGTAAACATGCAGTTTATGTCATGACATAGTAATAATGGAGGATCTGGAGTTATCTGGCAATATGACTTTTTGACAACCCACTCTGGACACGTTTGATTATTATGCTGTTCAAAATGTCCTCTCAAAACCACCATTACTTCATTATTTCAATCCTTTCCTTAAGTAATTTTGCATGATTAGTAAAATTTGTTTGACAGATATCAAATTTTTGATTAAAAAAATTAGGAATCATGATCTGACAGTGGCTGTGATTTGATCGACTTTGAAGCTGGATGTCAGGACATGACAGAGTGTTGTGACGCTTGATTCTGAAAAAACAACACATTCTTCCTCTTACAAATGAAAAGTTTAATTCATAAAAATTAAAACACACCTTTGCTCATGCCAGTACACTCAAAAGTTTCACAGCTACAGCTTAAGTGGCCTGGTATACTAAACTTTACATACTGTAGACATTGCCATACCATACTTAGCAGTTTACTAATGTTATGCTATTACGTTACGTTTTAGCATTTCTCATTAGCCCTTTATGGCCACCATTCAGTTTAAGTTACATAAGTACACTTTTAAAGTACCCTGTGGAGTTTTCTTGTAAACAAACAAAAGTTATGTCTACATTCAGTGTTACTCACAAAAATGCATTGTGTTCATCCTTGAGCTCTAACAAAGGTGATCAATGCATTTCATCATCATAAAACATTTACAAAGCAGATTTTAGTATTTATTTATAAGTACTAACATGCTAGTTTGACATGCCAACTCTAATATTAGTTAGTATGAAATACTGCAATTAGCCCTAGCATGTTTGCATTCATACAGTTAGCATAGTAACTTGCTAATGGTATATCTGCCAGCCTACCTATGCTGTGTTACATGTTAGCTGTGGCTTAAAGGTAGAGGAGAAGATCTGCTGTTTGATCCCCGGCTTCCCCCCGGCCCGCCTGTCAAGTGTTCTTGGGCAAGATACCAATGATGAGACCT